ACTTTTGAAGTGGTAAGAGAGTGGCCCATTACAGACAGTTGACAAGAAGGTGTGAGTAACAGTAGGGAACAACGAGTACAGTATATAGAGGCTGAAGGTTATTCAGTTTATCTTCACTGACCTGACACTAGGGTGATCAGACAGCAAGTGTGAAAAATCAGGACAGGGAGTACTGAGATAATAGGTGCCTATAAGAAAAAGCCCCGGATATCAGGACTGTCCCTATAAAACTGTCCCTATAATCCTACCTAACATATCAGGACCTGAAAAAGAGCTCTGTGTAAGCTTGTCTCTCCCACCAACAGATGTTGGTCCAATAAAAGATATTACCTCACCCACTTTGTCTCTTTAATATCAGGAAAGAGTTCGTTTATGAGTTGAGGTCTATAAAGCTGTAGTAGAGAACACCACTTGCAGCTCCTTTAGGTGGCTAAAATATCACTATTTTATTAACGCGGGGGCAAATAGCATTTTTCTCTTAAAAGCTTCTATTTCAATTTCTAACCACCCTAGAAGAGAGCCTTGTTCCATTGAATTTCCGTTCTGTTTTTGTAACATTCTCATGACTCTTACTCTTATCCTGTCCTTCCCCCACAAGCTCTTTATAAGCGTCTCGTGTCAGGAAGTGCACAGATTTTGGACTGTAGTTTAGATTTCTGGGAGGCGGATGCTGTCCAAAAACCACCAACTGATTACAGTTACTGGGTCCATCACGTACCTTCCTCTTTGTTTTCCTGTCCTCAGGGGCAACAGCTTTGAATAACAACCTTTTCCCCTTGTAATTCAAGACATAAGAACCCTCTGTGGCTCAGATCCCTTACTTGACAAGCAGGTTTGAACAGTGTCCCCATACAATGCATCCAAACCATTATGTCTGCTTTCTTTTCTGCCATGACTAGCATTATTTATGTTGCAGTAGTGCCTATAAGTCCCAATCAGAACTGGGTCCCGCTGTGTGCTAGGTATGCTACAAACACATAGGTCACCCTATATGTTTCTATCTGCCTTTAAGAGCGCACAGTCTAAAGACAAAATACAAGGGAAGAGGAAAACAAGATACAACTTACATGCAAAGCGGTCAGGATGAGGTCAGGTACTCATCTTGTTAGTTTCATATTAATAAAAAATGTTTAACCCTTGCCTAATACATTTGAAAAGTCATTTTAACTTTTGCCTTTTCTTCTGTATATTGTAGCACCTTTTTTTCCTGTATATTTTTGCATCTAACCTGACTATTTTCATTTCTACCCCTTTTTGTTGTTAAAAATTACTTTCAGCTCTTACTTTTTTGTATTTAACCGTATACCTCTTCTAGGTGTATTTTAAAAACTAATCTTTGACATTTACTTATTCAAAATATTTGCCCCTTGCCATGCTCTTAGCAGGGCCTTAATATAAAAAAAAAAAAACCCATGGCTTGGCTGCGGCTGGCCCGGTCAGCTGACTTGAGCTCACCGAGCTAAAAACTGCAGCCCAAGCCTGAACACCTGCACTGCAATGTTCAGCCCTGCAGCCTGAGTCAGTCGACCTGGACTTTGAGACTCAGTGCGACAGGTTTTTACTGCAATATACAGATGTGCTATGGGCCCAATTCTAATCCGTCCACTCTCCCCACTATGTACTTGGGGCACCTGAGTGGTTCAAGGGGGCTATTTGCAGTTCCCTGATCATGGGGTTGTTGGTATTTGGGCCCAGTCTCCAGTGTAGATTAGAGTACTCAAGGTGGAAGAGAGATTGGGGTGCCTCGTATAACCACAGCCGAACCTGGGCAGACTATGCCAGCAGGACTAATTTGGTCCTGTGTCTGTGAAGTGCTTCTGGATTCTTGGATCATAAGTGCTATAAATGCAAAATGTCATTTGAGAGCAGAATTTCGTCCCATGTTAGCTCCCGTGTAGAACTACAAGAGGTACACTTCTTATGAATCTTGCTTTTGCAAAGGTTATTGTATATCTGCCACTGCTGCATTTATGGTAGAAAAAATGCACAAATGTTTACAATTTCTCTGTATTTTCATTATGAACGCACTGTATGTGTGTGTGCACGCATGTAAAATAATTGTTTTACTACTGGGTGTGAAATTCAGCCTTATTTGGGCTAGTTCCAGGGATACACGCTCTTGAATCATTGTTGGTAGATAGCCCATAAGCTGACCCTCTGCACAGTGATGAATTTCATCCAGTGCCGCTATTTAGATTTCTATATCATTTTTATTTACAAAAATGTAAACAATTTATAGTTCATGCTTTTTTCCAGAACCTTTGCAAGATTACAGTAAAATTGAGAGTAGTAAAATAGAGATTACTATAAAATGGCTTAGTATTTTTCCCCCAGCAACTCAGCTGACCAACGTTTTCAGCTGTGTTGTGGAGTGTATGTGTTTATAGTGAAGTATGAGTTGTGACACATGTATAGCTGTAACTAATCTGAGAATTAAGATGTGCTAGCCCTGCTCTTAAAACAGTGTGGCCTAAAGTGAAAGTCTATAAACTTAATGCAATTGTGATTACCATTGTGCTTTTGAAATAAGATATCTTTCTTTACGTTATTAATCTATCTCTAGTTAAAATGACATTTATCACTTCCCATTCACTGTGATAGAAGAGACAAATGGGGACATATTAAACCGAGAAATATATAATCTTAAAGCTACTGGAATCTCCAGTTCAAGAACCTTTCCACCCACATCCCCACCAACAGCAAAGAATACTAAAAGTTGCCCTGCAAAAATGCAATAACATAAATAGCTGTTGCCCTTTTTGATTCTCTATAACCTCTGAAGAAGGCAAGAAAGTTCCTTCCATCCACATTTTTTTTCCTCTACTTGTATTTTTACATTATAAAATTGAGTTTTGTCTTCTCTGCTTTATTGCAAGACTCTGTGGAGAACTAATGGGACTGACATCAAATACCAGTCAAATGAAACCTGAACAACACAGCAAGAGGCAAGTGATTTTTATTCAGAATGTTTAAAACTTTGTTTTTGCTGACCTCTTTTTAACACAGACATATATAGTTGTGAGAAGGTGTCACGGGGTATTCACTTACCACAGATGGCTCCTGGCTGTTCTGGGGAATAGCTTTCTTCTAGGTCTGGTGCCTCCCCTTGGGGGTTTCTCTCCCCCTCCTCTCACTCTGTGGTCCCTCACTCCAGAACCTGCAGCTTCCTCTTTGCGACTCGGCCCTCCGCCCAGGCAGGGCCGGCTCCAGCTTTTTTGCTGCCCCAAGTGGCGAAGAAGAAGAAAAAAAAGATAAAGCTGCTATCGGCGGCACTTCGGCAGCAGCTCTACCGCTCCGCTTCATTCTTCGGCTGCAATTCGGCGGACGGTCCTTCCCTCCGAGAGGGACTGAGGGACCTGCCACCGAATTGCCGCCGAAGACCGGGATGTGCCGCCCCTTTCCCTTGGCCGCCCCAAGCACCTGCTTCCTGTGCTGGTGCCTGGAGCCGGTCCTGCGGCCAGGACACTATGGGGTTTCCCCTTCTGGGGTATGGTGTCTCACTGGACCTGCTGTCCAGGCAATGCCACTCCCTCAATGGCTGGTAGGGGAACCTGGGCCCACCTACTACTCTGGGTTCCAGCCCAGGGACCTTACAACATGCAGCCAAGGTCTAATGAGTTCCCAGTCTTGCTGTTCTCTCCCTGGGATGCTTCCTACTCCGCCTCCCAAAGGCTGTCTTCTCCACCATTCTCTGTTCTGGCTGCACCCTTCCCTAAGGGCCAGGCTCCTATGCTCTTACTCTTTCCCTGAGTTCCCTCCTTCTTTCTTTAATGCACAGATGGTTATTGCAGACTTCCTCACTATAGCCCTTCTGTTGCCAGTTTCTTGGCTTTACACTTGTTCAGCCTACACTTGCTCAGCTGAGCTTCACCTTCCAATCATGGGTTGCTTCTCCAGCATAAGCCCCTCCTGTGGGGCCTAGCACACTAATTGGATCTTTCTCAGCTTCCTTAATTCTTTCAGGGCTGGTGTGGGGTGAACACCCCATCACAGAAGGGGTCTTTTGTTCATAATTCAAGAACAATCCTCTCCCTGCCATAACTAAGGGTTGAGAGAGCTCCCAATCTACATCTCTGGTGCCTCCAAGGGAAACATCCAGCAAGACAGGGAGAATAAGACTTGACATTTCTAATATTGCCAATATAAAAAAAGAGAGGAATAAAAATACTGTAAGATCTTCCTTCTATATTGTAAAGATACAAAAAGGGTCATGTTTCAGAAGACTCAGATCATATACATTTACCAGTCCCCACCTAGACACGTTCCACTCCATGTGGCTTTTATCCAATATTCTGAGATTCTTCACATTCAGAAAATAGCAAACTATTTTCTCTAAATTTTATTCTTTTTTTAAAACGAATTCAGCTAGTGCCAACCATGCAGAATTTCACAATGCATCCAATATATAATGGAGATTGCGCTGCAAACCGTAATTGGAGTAGTAACAGCCAATACCTGCTATAATTATGTATTTGGCAGGCTCTGGGTAATCTGAGAATAAATTCATGAGAGATTAAAGTTTGACACATGAGGAATTATAGACTGGTGCTGAATAGGGTCTAAAGAAAAAGCACGTTCTGTGTGGTTGACATTTACTCATTTAGGTTTTGATGATCTCTAGAAGAAGCTGTATCCACCTCCTGCATTTGACCGCAGAGTACCTTGCTGTGACACTGGGTCTATCATAGCTGAGTGGAAAAAGTCCCTAAACTTTCCCTGCTGACAAAAAAAATGCATTATTAACTGGACTATATAGATTTCCCTACTCTTCCTATCTCTCATTTGTGAAAATGGTATTGATTTCCCTGTGTTAGTGGTTCCTCTCTACTCATCTTTTAAACAATAAATCTCTCATAAAGCAAATTCATCAGAGCAAAGCTTTCCAAATAAATTGCCTAGGTGACGGCATGCCATATTTCACCTGCAATTTCCATCCTCTGGGGGCTAGATAAGTGAGACTTAAGCTGATATGAAGAGCTTGCTTCAGATCAGAGGAACAGTAACATCACATATGAAATGTATCAAGAATCACTGTCCTTGACACTAAATGATTTGTTTCTTTCATGCAGAATGCTCAATCAGACATGTGGGTTTGAACTTTTAAGTTGTTCTGTTTTGTGAAGTTCCAAACTGCATATTGATTCAAGCAGAAGCTACTTCTGAAAGGGAATTCCAGCCCCTCTGTGAGAGAAATGCAAGTGAGTCTTAATGACACAGGGTTTGCTGCTGATGTTTACATCACCAAGCCTCTGACAACCTCTTCAGGACATTCCACTTTTTCAAGATGCAAAGCCATATTACTTGGACAAAGTTTCCCACAAAAAAAATCTTACTTGCTCCTGGAGTTTTAATACACAGGAAAGTTCTTTGATCATGAAAACAAACTGCCAAGATGGTAGTTGTGAGTATTGTTTTAGTGTTTATGAGGGAGTGGAGAAGAAAGAGCAGCACCTGAGAGAGATTAGCTCAAATGCCCCATGGGCAGCAGCATTGCCTCCTGCCTAAAGTCAACAAGGGTTGTGATCCTAGCCTTATTAGACTCTGAGGCCTATCTCGTGGCTCTGCAGATGTGTTTGTTTTGGAAGATCCACGATAAAACAAGAGGGAGGATATACAAGATATTACAGAGATCTTACAGGACAAGAGGTTACAATCCCAGGGGATGCTTTGTGCATGTGGCCTCTGAAAATGAAAAATGTCCATGTAGGTAATATTTGCTTTTTCTATATTCCCTCAGGGACATAAAAATAAAGAACAGAAGAAAATGATGTTTTATTTAAAAATATGGTCCTGGGTCACTAAGGACCAGTGGCTATTTCTCTCTGTAGAATTAAGTGGAGGGAAAAGCAGTAAGCTTTAGCCTCAAACATAGATAAGGTCTGTGGAGATGACAGGAAGTCAGGGCTGAAGATGTGAATCTGCAATGGCTAGAGCAGTGGTGGGCAACCTGTGGCCCGTGCCACTTCCTGCAGCTCCTGTTGGCTGGGAACAGCGAACCGCGGCCACTGGCAGCTGCGGGCAGCCGTGCTTGCAGATGGTCAATGTAAACAAACTGTCTTGCTGCCCGTCAGGGGATTACGCTGACGCGCCGTGTGTGGCCCGTGGGCCACAGGTTGCCCACCACTGGGCTACAGACTATAGCTGGTCAAAAGTTGGAATGTCCATTCCATGAGAATTTCCAACATTTCAAAATTTTCTTTAATTCTGAATTGAAACAAAAAGACAAAATATTGACATTTCCTATGGAAGAGAAATTCCAAATGACTTTGTTTGGGAAATATTGAAACGTTTTGTTTTGATAATGTCAAAGTGCTTTGTTGTGATAAGTTCATTTCAATGTCATTGTTTTGGAAGTGCTTCAACCTATGAAGACTTTGTTGAATCAGCATTTTCTGACAGAAGGTTGTTCCTTCAGAAGATTCTGAACAGAGTCTGAATTTGCTGTGGCCCGACAATCTCAGTTTATATTCTCAACAAGCATGGAAAGGACAAGCAATTTGGTTGAGGAAACACTATATTTGCACAATGAAGACCAGCTTAATAATGTTTTGAGAGCCATTGGAGCATTCTTAGGCAAACAAAGGTTGGAGTGTTGCAGAACAAAAGCCCTCAGTATCTGAGAGGATTACATACACTGGAATCCATGTTTGCTCTAATGTTTAAGGTGTGACTAGAAAAAGTTAACTTTAGATGCTTAAAACTAAGGACACAACATCTGTTAAAATAATACATCACTGATTATCATATAATCATAGGCCTGGAAGGGACCTTGAGAGGTCATCTAGTCCACTGCCCTACACTCATGGCAGGACTAAGTATTAATCCCTGACAGGTGTTTGTCTAATATACATGATATTATACATTATATACATGAATTAAGACCAGACCCATCTCCATTATCCAAACCACTAAGAAAATTGCATATTAAAAGTATTTTGGCCAAGCCACAATACCTGGCCTAAGAACTGTTGAATGAGATCTAAGCTTATTAAGTCCTTAGGAAGTTGAAAACTCACTAAATGTGCCACACAATGCTGGGACCCAAGGCCCTTGTATATGGTGGTGCTTTGGTTCATCTTTTGACTTGTCTGTTTGGAATGGTGTTCCATCCTCACTGGCCATTTTTCCTGAGAGCTGTCACTTCATTAAGCACACACCTCTTGAGCAGTCTTTCCAGAGAACAAAGGGAAATCAGAAGCAATAATAAAAGGAATAATAAAGGTATTACAAATGGATAGAATATTTAACAGGGAGAACAAGGAGGAAGAAGCAAGGCATTAAGCCAATTATAAGAAGGAAGGCTAAAGAAGCAGCAAAAAAAGAAAAGAAAAAGGAAGAGCAGGATTAGGAATAAAAGAGAAAACACACAGATCTAGGCCTAAAGAGGTCATAGCTGCTGCCTTCCACAGAAATGAAATCAGATAGGGATCCTAATAGCCATTGATTGTTAAAGAAAGGAAAAATATTGCTATAAATAGGTACAGTAGAAATTTCGCATATGAACAGGAGCAGGAGAGGCAACTACTACATACAGTTAGCAAAAACATTTATGAAAGTGCAGTATACACAACTGAAAATGGAACAGATGGCGGACAATGGTGATTTACTGCATTTCAGATCCTGATGGGGAGTGATTTATTTCAGGTCCTAGAGGAGAAAGAGATGAAGTATGTACTTTATTATCTGATACAATGCTGCGGAAGAGAGCAGTGATTTTGAAGGGTTTGAAGAGATACATATGGCTGATAAGGCGGAAGGAAACAAGGACAAAGTTTAATTAAGACATGGGAAATCAGAAAGAAAACGCAAACACTGGCAGGCAGATGGACTTGATGACCTAACAGGTCTTTTCCATCTCAGATTTGCAAGAGTGTAGGTCAGCTCCATGGTGACCGTGGGATCTGAATGACAGATACTGGAATATCATGACAGCACTTGGCTTTCTGGAAGGCTTCACTAGGACTGTCCAACAAGAGAAGGAAATGTTAAATGCATTTGAAAATATGAAAGCCACTGATTGTCAGGGCTCTGCTTTACCCCAACCCCTCCCCTTTATTTTCTAATAATGCAGTAGCTCAAAGGAAGCTCTCAATTGCATGAATCAGATTTTTTTAAAATGCTGGCAGTACACAGAATGCAGCGTCTCTCTTCATTCTGCCCCAAGACTAACACTCCACAGCTACTCCTAGAAGAGCTGCAGCTCAGGTTTCAACTTCTTCTGATGTCACATTCCTAGTCCCACAAAGATTTGGCCAAAATCCGTCACCCAAAAGGGCAAGTTGGGGCCATATATTTTCCAATATGAAAGGGAAGGGAAAGAATATTTAAAACAACCCCCTTGAGGACATTTTAAACACAAAAAAGATCAGGAAAGGGCTTTTTTAAATTGGTCCACTGCTAATAAAATGAGCTTAGTGATATGTAAGGAGCCAGATCCTCAGCTGGTGGGATAGCTCTACTGATGGCTTCAGTAGAACTACATTGGGTCTCCAGTGGAACTTCAATAAAGCTACAATACTTAATCATGCCTCAGTAAAGGGAAAGGACTAGAGGACCTCTGGATGTCCCTTCTAGCCCTAGGGATTCTATGACTGATTTACACCAGCTAAGAATAGTCAGTGATCATTTAAATTCACTAGCAGTGGTTTTCCAAGGACTGAGTTGTAAGTGGCGTGGCAAATAATTGGCCTGGAGAGGTGGGGAACTGCCTCAACCCACTTCAGTCATTATTTTATGATGATAAAACAAAGTTCTGGAGTAGCAATTCCCTGTGTAAAACTGTCAATAATACAGTATGTATATAACAAAACCATCTGCAGCGCATTCTGCTTATGGAGACATACTACTGTCAAGATCATTCGCAGATGATCTGGCATCAGATAATTCTTCTATGGGCTGTGGTGGGGGTAGGGAACATAAGTAGTTACTACTGTTGGTCAACAATTCACTAAGGCTTGGAGTCTGTCTAGCCTTTACATGGGGTAGGAAAAGAGGTAGTAAAGAGCTTTCTTCTAATCACGGAGTGACTGATGTAAGGGCTGGGTAGAATTGCAGTCCCTGTGCTCTTGGCTATGGGCCTACCCCCATCATGCATCAACAACAGAGCTTAGGGGGGCATAGCACTCTGTGTATTCTCTCTGCACACTGGGAAGGATCTGGAGGCATTTTCTGAACTCTGTTGCTCCCGCTAGTGAGGGGTGGCTCTGCACTACTTCTAACTCAGGCCTGGTTCTAAATATTACCAAGTAACCCTAAAAACGATATGTTTTAAATAGAGCTGGTTGGATAAACATTAGTGATACATTAGTAAAATCTGACTTGTGATTCAGTTTAGCCATATTCATGAATCAGTCAATCAATCAGTTCCTCCTGCGTGGCTCCTCCAAGCAGTGCACAGGTCAGAATCTAGCCCACAGTGCTCAGTTCTGAGAAAATCTGCAGGCTATTATCTGTTCGGACTAATGATTTGAACAAGTCCAGATAGTGAACACATTCAGGAAAATCTTGGTCAGAGAGCAGGCAGTTTGTGAACAGGACAGAGGCCCACATGTATCAGACAGACTGGCCATTATGTATAATTCACAAAAAGAACAGGAGTATTTGTGGCACCTTAGAGACTAACAAATTTATTAGAGCATAAGCTTTTGTGGGCTACAGCCCACTTCTTTGGATGCATATAGAGTGCAACATATGCATCTGAAGAAGTGGGCTGTAGCCCACGAAAGCTTATGCTCTAATAAATTTGTTAGTCTCTAAGGTGCCACAAGTACTCGTTCTTTTTGCGGATACAGACTAACACAGCTGCTACTCTGAAACCTATGTATAATTCAGTCAGCTGTAGCTTTATAAACGATACACACAGTGCATCTTACCTGTAGTGTGTGTCCATTGTGTGTCTGTGTGTGAGATTACAAACATAACTGGAGCAGGCCTTTGATATATATATATATATACATATATACATTCTTTTATTTAACTATGTTCTAGAAGAGAAAAGAATAAACATTAACAAACAATTTTGACCTTCCCTAAGGCTTTGCCATGAAATCATCTTGTAATTTATGGTTTGATTTTTTTCAAAAAAGACTTTTATTGGATGAACAAGCTTGTGTGCATAAAAGAGTTCATCAGTCAAGAATATATATATACACACAATCCTTAAAGATGGGGCTCCTCGTTTAAAAAAAGAAAGAGTAATGAAAAATGTTTTGAGTATGAACTGGAATCCAGACAAAAGCGGAAAAACCTGCCCTATTTGTGTTTTATGGTACACTGGTATCTTTTCAAGGTTATGCTTGTGTGTCAGCACTCAACAGATCTAAGGTGAGATAAAGCATCCATTCTCTTTTTTGCAGAGCCTCTGGGATCTTTAAAACCAAAAAAACCCTTATGATTTAACAACCTTAATTGTCTCACACTGGGGTTAGACAGAAAAGCTCATTAGGACATACAGACATAGTGCAGATGTTCCACTGATGACAAGCCAGTACAGGGAGTATATTTCTCTTTTGCCTTCTCCCCGTTTTTAAATTTCTTGTCTAACCCCATTCCCCCAACACATTTACCATTGATATGAATGTCTAGAGTGACATTTATTAGTAAGAATGAGACTGCAACAATGTTAGCTGTCTTGCAGTGTATGTAGTGTAACAAGAGCCCTAGCACTGGTGACCATGAGCACAACTGAAAGCTGTCCTGCAATGTTATTCCATTCTGTTAAAGTAAGTCTTTTGAGGGGGAGGAAGCATATTCCTCTGTGTGCTGTGAATTCTAATCTGTGTTTATTTATTGCTGTGTATCTAGTGATCTGCTGGGCTGTCAGCACCAGGAAATGCGCAAAGCATCAACATGCCAGGCTCGCCAGGCAGCTAAGTTGCTGCATTTGTGTCACAAATCCAATCTGAGTGAAAGCCCTGTATCAGCTCTGGGATCTGACTCAGCTGGAGTGATGAGCTTTCCCTGGTTTGCAATGCCAAACTGGCCTCTCTTCCAAAAGGCAGAAAATTTGCAGGGCAGCTGGATGAAGAGGACCTGTGACACTTTGACCTCTGCAGTATATTTTTCAGACTCCAGTGCATCAGGAGAGCTCAAAACATTACTTTTAGAAGTGTTTGTTTAAAAAGAAGTTTCCCCCAGTCTGAGGAAGATTAAGAAATTGCTCCAAGTTATATTTTCATTTTGAAAATTCATCTGAAATATTGAGCAAGAAAGCGATGAAGAGTCTAAAACATGTTCTGTGAAATGCTTTGGGGACTTTTGGAAAAGCACCTAAGAAAGAGAAAAAGAAAGAGAACAGAGTGCCCCCAAACTGCTATTTTGATTAGAACAAAATTCTCCAAAGAAAAATCCATGAAGCTGAAACAGAAGATTTTAAAGACAACTCCACAGCACTAAAATTATCACTTTGCCACCATTAGCTGAAAATAGGGGCAAAAGTAAATTAAATTGTCAGGAAATAGGGTGGCAAGTTGCTGGCCACAGCAAACCATAACATTAAGATAAATAAAGTAACAGTTGGAATGTGAACATGCTGCCCTGAAAAACTGAGATAATTGTTTACAGTTTGGGATGTGTGGAATGTTGGCATGCGTCCAAGTAAAAAGCGGAGCATGCTCAGTACAAATGTGGGCTAAAGGTGATCTAAATAGGTCAGTGGAGCATGCTCAGCACAGAAATAGGCTAACGTTTACAGACCATAATACTAAAGAGGCCATAATATTCGGTTACCATAATATTCAGTACAGCCTATAATATCCAAAAGTGGTAAACACTGACGCAACAATCATTTTTCCAACAATTGTGATTGGAGAATAAAGAGAAGGATTAAAAAGTAGCCAATAGAATGTTTGCAATGATCATAATGTGGGTGTGCTCAAAAGGGGTCTGATGACTGGCAAAACTGTATAAAAGGCAGTGTGCCAAAAGGGATTTTTAAGTCATCGGTTATGGAGAGGGAGAAGTCAGGAGCAGGAGAAGTAGAAGGAAGAAGAAGAAGCAGGACCAGCTGCAGGGTGAACGGCAATAGAGGTGGCTGCTGGTACAGAGCAGAAAAGGACCATGACAGCAGACGGAGAGACGCCTCCAGAGAAAGTGAGTGTGCTGATAGATAGTTATAAGATAGATATAGGCATGTATACATACTAAATTAATAAAGCTGTGTGTAATGTATGTTATATTAATCTACATGTAGAGTGTGTCAGGATGTGTATATATAAGGATTGCTGTTAGCAAACTGCAGGCGAGTGGTCACCGCATGCAGAGCTCAGCCACTTAGTATTGCTCTAACGGTATGTCATTACAGTTTGGGTACTTTTAGCCTGTACCTAAGTATTATGTTAATAAAAGGGATTCATGTTTAGATTATTGTATCAGGAATTACTGTTTGCACCAAAATAAACAGGTGCCTTGTTTTGGAATAATACTGCCTGTGTGTCAATCATTTTTATCAGAAGTTTGTATCCATGTCCTCTCAGGAAAACAGGTCCCATCTGTTCTGGGGAGTATCCAAAACGAGAAACCTGGGTAAACCCAATATTCCTTGCCTGTCTTGGGAACCCATACCAGACAGAAACAGATTAGAGGACAGGTGGGCTGTCTTAGAGGGGACTCTTGGCAAACCTGGGAGGGGAGGGACAATAGGTGAGCTATTCTGGGGGTACCCTAAATTTGTTTTGGGGATAACAAAACCAAATAGAAATAATCATTTGGGACTGGCTTTTCAAAAGTCCTTCCCTCCCTCTTCCAAAACCCGTGTTGCTTACGTAATATGTTTTCTTCTTGACATGGCAAATAATTCCATGGCCATTTTCATCTTCAGAAAATACTGAGATGCTTCAAGCATATCATAAAATCCATCTGCACACACAGAAATAACATGTAGTAAGTGTATAGCTCATTTACACATGGACATACTGCAGAAGTATGTTGGCTCCTACAATATTTTGTATATTTCTAACTGGAAGAAACCGAGAGTAAAGCCAGTTATACCACTCATCAACTTCCAACTTTCAATCAGGGCCGGCTCCAGGCACCAGCTTACCAAACAGGTGCTTGGGGTGGCCACTTCGGAGAGGGGCGGCACGTCCAGCTGTTCGGCGGCAATTCGGCGGACTGTCCCTCACTCCTGCTCGGAGCGAAGGACCTTCTGCTGAATTGCTGCCGCAGATCGCAACTGCGGTTTTTTGTTGTTGTTGTTGTTGTTGTTGTTGTTTTTTGTTTGGCTGCTTAGGGCCAAAACCCTGGAGCTGGCCCTCCTTTCAATTTTGCTTTCCTCCTTTGTTGAAGAAACTGTGAGAAGACCAAGAGCTCTCCTAGAGCCAACAAGAACTAAAGAACATGCAGATGGTGCTCTCTCTGGCTAAGAAATTAATAACGAAGAAATTTCCCCTCCACCCCAAGGCCCTCCAGTTGTGGAGAGGAATAGAGAATCTGATGGCAGCTCTGAGTAAGGGACAGTAACGGCAGTGAATTGAGGTTAAGTGCTGCTGAGCCTTTTATGGATGAGAATTACCATTACAATTAGTGCCTATGGACAGGAACTCTCTTCCTCTACGACCAACAAGTCCAAAAATTAACCTCCTGTGGAACAGATGTTCATATGCCTTTCCTGATCTGCATAGCACACCACATTTATCCTTTCTTGTTAACTCCACTGAATTTTCTTCCTCGCAATGCATTCTACACTGGTTTGAAATGTTTCACCAACAATTAATTTCTTACTACCAAAGGTTATGGTGGATTCTCCACCATTGAACATTTTAAAATCCAGATTGGATGTTTTTCTAAAAGACATGCACTAGTTCAAACAGGAATTAATTCAGAGAAGTCCTACAGCCTGTGTTATGCAGCAGGTCACACTAAATTATCACAATGGTCCCTTCTGACCTTATACTCTGTGAAAACTGGTATTCTATGTCTATGAGAGAGAGGACATATTTAAACCATAGCTTCAGGGCACATTCAGTTAGTGGAACTTCCTAGGCTAGCAGCTCTGAAGGCTAAATTCTGAAGGCTGAATCAAGTGCTGTAGTACCTGAGCACTCTTGTTACCAAGTGGTTTGAGCAGGTAAATTTTAGTCTATTTACTATATTAAGTTCAATTGCTATACTCAAAGCATTTTAAGGAGGCACAATTAAGTACTAAAAATGAGGAGCTGCCAAACTTTAGGTTGCATGTAGAATTGTACTTTGTCACAGTATTCCATACACACAAGGGGCAATCAGGATCCAGAGACCCACCCCAGGGAAAATTAGGTGGTCTGAACCACAAAGAGTAAGCAATTGAATCAACTGGTTGTATACCATGTTATTGTGGATAACTGTGTGACAATAAGGTCTTTTGTGAAAGCTTGTGTAACCCTTCTGCCTGTCTGAGTTGGCAGCAACAAGGGCCGGGTTCAGTATCTAGGGATTCCGTTTCAGTAACACAATGCAAAACCGGCTCAAGCCCCCACCCAGTGACCTGGGACAATTACATACCACCCCCCGGGCGCCGCTAAGAGGCAATACTTCCCCTCTCGCAAGCACGGAGTCTGAGTGTAGCAAAATCCTTTTAATAAAGGAGGGAAACAATGCGGCATTATGTTGGGGAAACACCACAAACAGGATTCATAACACAAACCATGAGCAAAAGACACCCCCCTCCCCAAGTAAGTTTGGCAGTATCCTTTTCCCCTCAGGGTCTTAAGTCCAGCAACCCAAAAATCGCCCAAAAGTCCAACAACCCCAAAGTCTCTGTCCCTGGTCAGTGCAGCCCCAGAGTTCAAAAGTTTATCTGCAGAGTTTTACCTCCCAGCCTGGGTGAGTGGCAATGGGGAAGGGGGGCACAGGGGTGTTAAGGGGCACCTTATGTGGTCCAAGGCTGACTGCCCCACCTCTCCGTGGGGTTCTGCTGCAGCCTTCACCGCGAGACACTCTGCCAGCTGCTCTGCTCCACACAGCCGTCCCATGAGCTGCTCCTGCCATTCCGTGAACTGCTCTGCTCCGCCAGCCGCTCCGCTCCACCAGCCATCCCGCAAACTGCTCCACTCTGCCAGCCGCTCCACTCCACCAGCCGTCCTATGAGCCACTCCAGCCGTCCTATGAACTGCTCTGCCAGCCGTTCCACAATCTATCCTCAGGCCCCCCTACTACTTAACACAGCACTCAGTGATTTAAGCTCTTTAGTGATTTCAGCTTGTAGTAGGGGCGCCTCAGTGCTGGAGCACCATTGGCCCAAAGTGAATTCAGCTTAGAAGCCTGTAACTAGACTCCTAATGGAATCAAAATTAGGTCTGATATTCCACAGCAGAGAAGGGGGGGGGTGCAATTGGTGTTTCAGGCCCTCAAAGGGGGCCCATACCATCAGGTACAAATACTTGTCTTCAGCCTCTCTCAATTCACTGGGTTGTGGAACCCATGTTCCTTGTCTAGTGAGTGCTACTTAGTTGATGGCGAGTCCCTCTGTCATAAAAGAGTTCCACTGTACTTGATTCACATAATTAGGGTAACAACACTTTATTCTTCCTGCCCCAATAACAGAGAAACTGGGGATCCCACAGCAGCCAAAGTGACCATTTGGGCTGCTGTGGGCTCATGCTAGGCAGGGTGAGTGTGCCTATGCAAACAAGATCAGCCCCTGAAGTTCTTTTCCACAACTCATCACAATTCACCACCAGATGTCAGGGTAGAGCTCATCCTGACTCTGCTTACACTTGTAATGTTCTGAACTTGGTCATTAGAAGATATGTATCCAGATTATGGTTATGAATGTATGCATGTGTAATTGTAACTAGGTTACAACTGCCAAATCACCTTACAACAAGGGGTGAAGTCATCAGTCATGGAAGGGCACCTCTCTGTCTAGTTGTTTACAGAAAACTAGCTGCAAGCATCTAGCATGGAGAAAGACAACGGTGGACCATAGTTGTATGCAGTTTTGGTGTAGCCATGTGTAGTGAGCCGGTGTGGCTCCCCGCCGCCCTGGAAGGGGAACAGCCCATCCGGTGGCCAGAGTGGGTGGAGCTAGGGAGCTCTGAGCCCACCCCTCAGAGGGTCAGGTGGCGACCTGGAAGTATAAAAACTCGCTCTCACACCTCAGTCAGGCCCCAGCCGCCGGAGAGACCAGACGTCTCCAGCCTTGCTCGTGGCTGGGAAGACCCCGTGGCCCAAGGCGACCGCTACCCGGAGGAGCCGCCGGACTTGCCGAACAATCCATGGCCTGACGAACCCATGGTCCAGGATCTCCCCGAGGCCAACACCAGCCCCCAGGTAGGCCCCGAGGGGGAGTGTGGAAGTAGCCCGGGGGCAGCCGACCCCAGTCGGGCTGCAGCACTGCCAGAACCTATGTCAGTGTGTTGCGGCCAGGATCCCCACTGACTAAGCAGCGGGCCTTCTGCCGCTGCTAGGGCTGTGATGCAGTGGAGTGGGAGGGCCTGCATCCCCCCTGCCATCCAACCCGTGGGTGGCAGTCTCCCCCTCTCCCCAGCCTTTTGAGGCTTGGGCCTACTATTGTTGCTCAGCCCTGACTGAGGGCCTGAGCTCCTGACTCAGTGTTTGTTGCCCTGCCCTGACCTAGGGCCTGGGCTTAATACTGTGTACTATTGTTGCTCAGTCCTGACTGAGGGCCTGAGCTCCTGACTCAGTGTTTGTTGCCCCGCCCTGACCAAGGGCCTGGGCTAAATACTCCTGCTTGCTGCTCAGTCCTGACTGAGGGCCTGAGCCCTGACATAGCATTGGTGCCCGCCCTGAACCAGGGTCGGGCTTACTGTGTCTTCCGGGACCGCAAGGGCTGCCGAGGGAGATCCTGCAGCCGGACAAAGTACCCAAGCACCAGTAGGTAGTAAGCCGGTGTGGCTCCCCGCCACCCCAGAGAGGGTCGAGCCCCGGCAAACACTTGTACACCATGGTATTCCCAGGATATTAGAGACACAAGGTGGATGAGGTAATATTTTTAATGGACCAACTTCTGTTGGTGAGAGAGACAAGCTTTTGAGCTACACAGTGCGCTTCCTCAGGTCTTCCTCTGAAGAAGAGCTCTGTGTAGCTTGAAAGCTTCTCTCTCTCTCTCTCTCATCAACAGAAGTTGGTCCAATAAAATATATTACCTCAGGCACCTTGCCTTTCTAGTGGAGGACCATTACAGTTAATGGAAAGACATTGAAATGGAAAAGAAAACCCCAGTCTGGAAAAACTAAGGAATGAGGGAGTCCCCCCAACCCCATGCTCTATGTAACCATGAATTACCATAGTTTGAGAGAAAGGAAAATAAACAAAAAAAACACCCCTCTCCCACAAACCATGTTTAAAGGGAAGAGGGTTTGAGGAGAAGGCTATTCAGAAACCGAGAGCCAGTATCTAGGTGGGGTGCTATCCATGGAGCACTGGATCCTCTCTAGGACAGAGGGTGTTCTGGAAAACTGTTCAGAGGGCACGCTAGATAACTTGTATTAGAAAAGGGAATTTAGCTAATATGGAAGTGTAAAGTCTGAGATTGTGTCTCGTTTATTTTTTGTGTAACTTGTATGTGTTTGCTTCCCCTTACTAGTTCATCTTTGAATCTGTGGATTTTTTATTAAACTTTGTTTATTTTTACCCCAAGCAGGTCTCTGTTGTGCAAAGTGTGTGGAGTGTATGTGGCAAAGTGAACTGATAACTGGCGGGGGAGGTTTCACTCCTTTAGGGGTGATGAACCAGAGAAGAAAAGTCAGTGTGTCTGGTAATTAAGAACATGGGGAGATGGAATTGGGGAGGCTTGGGTGTAGTTGAGGTCACTCTCCAAGGAGTAATAGGTTGGTGGAAGCCAGGATTGAGACCTTTATGCTTGCAGGCTGGCTATGGGTTTTAGGGCTCTGAGCCATAACAGAACTGCCTTCTGTGCTGGGCAGAGAGCGGCAGCTGCAGACTGGATGCCCAGCTCTGAAGGCAGTGCCTCCATCAGCAGCAGCACATAAGTAAGGGTGGCATTACCATGCCCGCTGCAGAGCTCTACCCCCTACCTTTTTTCCTACCATCATTTTTCCATTCTCCCTCCCCCCACCAGCTTGTGTGGCTGTTCCTCTCACTCTGCCCTGGTTATGGCCCTGCCCAAAACTCTCCGAGATAATTTAATGTACTAATGGGGGGGGAAGTGTGTGTTGCAAATCTCAAAATCGATTGAAAATTATGAACTGTGCACAAAAGCTAATTTAAAACAAAATTGCGGTGAAAGCCTAATATTGCATAATCCACAATATCGTGAATGAAGTAGGACCTTAACCATATGTCTTTAGTTTCATGATCACATGCTATTTCTCTAGTAAATTATTATCATGCATCTTCTACAACTATACATTAGAAGTCAGCTGATTTTAAAAAGTGAGCAAGTACTTTTCCTTGTGGCTTTATTGTAGATTTTTCTAAGGTGCCCTTCACTGTGGTATTTAAACAAAAGTACACCTCCCCCCTTATTTTGCTGACACACACATATGTACTTGGGCATGGGAGTCAGGGATTGTATATGTATGCTGGAGATGGAGCGTGCATAAACCTTACAACATGAATGCATGTGAACACTTGAAAAACCTGCCTCTAGATGCAGAGCAGATGTGGTACAGTTTGAATACCAGTAGCTGGTCTGCTGAAAACTGCTTTCAAAACATAAGCAGAATATGGCAGCGGTGAAGTGGCTAGAGAATTTGTGTGTTTAATCAATATGTTTGCTTTAAAGGAGTTAAAATTGAAAGCCATGTTAACAGCCATGTAGGAATGAAGTAAACCTCATAGGATCACTCCAAATAGCAGTTAGACAATCAGAAGCATGATGCCCCTCATCAGAAGCTAAGAAGGAGCTAGTCTATGATAGAGGAGATAGCATTTCTCCAATGAATGGAGGTTAAAAGAAAAGAAGAGGCTTCTTCACAGAATGCTATTCTGAGTTTGGAGTGAGGTGTGGGAGGGAGACAACATGCTGGATGTTATACATTAAAAATACATTAGCTATTATCTTTGGAAGATTCTTGTCATGTTTTATTGTCTCCAATTATTTTTCCTCTTCCCTGGTTAGTTACACCAAACCATGTTTTCCTGTTCCATAAGTAATGCACATTTATAGTGATTTCATAAACATTTGTAAGTGTTTATATATTCAGAGTGGCAAGAGAATGTATTTGCTGGTGTAGCCTGGATATGTAATATATAGGAAACTATCCCATTAAAGTAAATGTCAGTGGCTTCAGTTGTTTTCCATTATTTCCAGAAAGGAGGGAGAGTTGATGTATTTGGGGCAAAAGTATTATTAAGTGAGAGCATGTAGGTGAGAGCATGTACATAAACAATAGGAGAGTTTCATTTAAAAAGGGAATCTAGAAATAAAAATTAAGATATACAGCCTTCCCTCTTCCCCCAGAAGGTTTGTTTCCTGGAAATAAATAAACCACTTAACAAAAGACTCTTGCCTGAGGAGAACAATGGACCAAATCTAAAGAGGTTAATTTCCCCACCTGTTCCAGAGTTA